CCTTCCGTAACCCTTGTGGAGAAGCCTGTGAGCAGTAATGTAATAGCCTCATGCATGACGGTTATCCAACAACTGGGTACAGTTGTTGGATAAATGGGGCAACAAACACTGTCAGTCCCAAATAATGTCCTGCTTGTTGTTAATCTAAAGCGTAACCAACTGACAGTTCAGTGTGGTGGGTAATCAGAATTTGGGGTTCTGTTATGAACAAATAAGAGATTTTCTGGGTACACATGTCAGTGTATCAAACAATTCTGTGTGTCTGCTAACAAGCAGTGTGCAGCAGCTTATGCCTGTCGGTGCGTTTGTGTCTTGCCAGTGTGTTTGCCAGGGGTTTGTGCTGAGGTTAGATAGTCAGCACGGGGAGCCTGACTCCAGTGTTTCCTGACTATTGGAGCAGTCCTCCAGTTCTGATGCTGCAGATCTGCCTCAGTAGGGCTTGGGATTTTGTAGGTGAAACTTAAAAGTTCAGTCTAATTTTAGATCTTGAAGTAAATCAACTGAATTGGGTACGTGCTGTACCCTTTCCTGCAGTTCAGGAAACAAGGTGTGCATTTGTCATTTTGCTGTTGCTTCATATTTAGATCTGAACTTGAGGAATGCTGGGATGAACGCTTGTTCTCTGAACACTGCCTCATTCCTTGCTGCTAGGAGAGGTAACCAGTTCCGTAGTGCTGTCAGAGCAAATGATCACTGTGAGTTTCCAGGACGAGCCATAGGCTAGGATTGTGTGTGTTTCATGCTCTGAACCCTCACAGGCTTGAATCGTGGTGGTCATTAATCTGTACCTTGATCCGGAGAAGCTAGGTGGTCTGTTTGCAATAGTTGGTAGAAATGACTGGTGAAATAGGGTAAAAATCCATAAGCAGCTTGTTTACGTTGTGTTCAAGGATCACATTGAGGGGACAGTGACTTCAAGTACTTGAAGTCCACAGGGCTCTGCTGTGGGGAGGAGGAAGGCAATCTGGTCTCTGCAGCTATTCTCTAAAGCCACCAGGAAATATCTTCTCAGGAAAGGTTCCTGGTGCTTTTTTCAGTTCCAGCAATAAAACCCCTTCATCTTGTTATTTATGTGGGCTTAAGCCAGGAAGCCCTAGCGCTGTGAGGTAAAACTCGGGGGCTTCTTGATGCTGTTGTCAGATACTGTTTGCAGCGTGTTTAAAAACTGTCTTGTTTAACTTTCTGGTGCTGAAGAATTGCTTGAGGGTTCAAAGGACATGAGTCTAAATGCTGAAGAGGATGTGGGGGCTGGTAACAACAGGATGTGTATGAGGGTTCAGAATCGCCTCTAACATGCTGTATTTCCACAGGGTGAGGAAAAAGTGTCCCCAGTATGATGAGAAAGAAGAAAGGAAAAAACTTCGACAAGAAAACCGAAATGGCCATGTTGGTGTGTAAATGAGGAGAAAGCAGGTATGAAAGCTGACTTGAAATGCCTTTTAGTCCTTACAGGCTGGAGTTACCCTGTAAGAATCGCGTGCATGTTTTGAAAGCTACTGTTTGCATCTAGCACTTCAAATGCCTTGAAACACATTGCTTACATTTCAATGAGTGGCTTTCTTTTTTGGTTTCCCAAAATCGCCTGAGTTGTGCGAGTTCCTCAACAGTGCTGTTAGCATTCTGGCTGCTGTCTTAAAAGAAGAGTGAGGATAGGAAGTTGTACTGTGATAAGTGGACTTATGCAGGGAAGAAAAAAAAAAACACCCCCATACTTCAGCAGAGGCAGGTTTAGTGCAAGAAACCATAGCAGACTTGCATCATACAAGATAGTGCAGCAGCCAAGTGGATCGTCTTCTTTAAGAGAAGCATCAAGCGTTTTCCTGTCTCCTCTGCAAGGCATGGGGAAGTTTCGGGTGCTTAGAGGCTGTAGACCAAGAGAAAGCTGCCAATTCTGTGAGCACCGTAGATAGCCTCTCAGTCAACTTCCATACTGTCATAGCAACTGAGTGCTAAAGCTCTTTGGCCTAGGTGGATCACTCCTGGGAGCCATCTAGTGCATTTTAATGAGTGAGGAAGTTGGTCTCTTCTAAGTGAAAGTGTACTGAACAGCGGACTCGAGGACCCCTATTGAACAGGAGTTAGACTACAAGCTGAAGGAGGAAGCTATAAAGGATAGTCCTGAGAAGTTCTGGCAAACTCAGAAGTTTTGCTTTGCCACATGTCAGCTGCAGACGTTTCCCTCGTTTTGTACAGTGACTTTTGGAATCTTTTGCTCAGAGCTTGCTTGAAGCTGAAGAGTATCTAGCAGAGTGTCCTCAGGTGTGTGCACATACTTAACCTACCTGCCTCAGATGTTGGTTTGATGCAGTTCTAGCACAGAGTGCTTGTTTCTTGGGTGGTGATTAACGTGCCTGGTCTACCCCTTACAGAACAATTCTGACGTGGCCACTGCCAAGCTGCAGGGTACTTCTGGCTACCTGACACATCCACCTGGACACTGGGCTGGAGCTGTTGCCACTAAGCCCTGATTCATCAAGACAGAGGCTGCTTCAAGGGGATGTCAACATGCCACTTGCTACTGAATCGCTTGCTGGGGAGGACAGTTACCGCTATCTCTCGGCACAGTGATGTGGAAGGAGCTGCCGCTATGGGGTGGAGGAACTGCTATCAGGACCTGCTAGAGACTACTCCAACTGAGCCCTCTCTATCAGTGCTACAGCTCCACTCTCTGCCGTTGTGTGGATGGACTCTTTTCTGTTAGCAAGTCTCCTTGGGCAGCTCTAAGCCTCAGGGAGAGAGCTTGTTGCGGCTTTCAGAAATGGATGGAGGGAAGAAAAAACCCTTCCCTCTCCCAAAGTTGAAAAGGAAAGAGCTCTGGATGGCTTCTCTCCTTAGATCTCAGTGGATGAAAAAGCTATTTCTGCTGTCACTGTGTTCCCTGTTGATATCAGCTTCAAAGAACTTCATCTCTAGTTCTGACTTGCAGGGCGTTGGTGACAGATCTTTGTCAGCCACACCTGGGTTCTGTTACTGTATGTGTGGAAAGTAATACCTCTGAATTCAGTAGGACTCGTTGTGTGAGTGGAGCTATCCATTTGCGTGTGTGCTAGCCCAAGTTAAAACTGCTCTCCTCAGGATGCTGAGACAGTAAAAGCAAGTTCTGAAGCTCTGTATCTGAAGGAAGAGATCCATGCTTAAACAATCTGATAAGCTTGGACCCATCTGTTATAAACAGAGCTGCTTCTGTTAACCAGATATTCGAGGCTGCTTTAGGCAGCACTTAGTATGTAAAATGCTAAATGCTTCACAACAGATCCAGTCAGTTGAACTTGACCAAGAACCTGTTCCTTTGAAGAATTACATTCGTGCACTAACACTCTGCAAGCAGTGATCTCTTCTGCTCTACCTTCTGGTGCAAAGAACTCAACTTACCTCAAACTTGCCTGACCAAAGTGTCCTTCGTTTCTTGAACTGTCCATGCAGCCTTGAGTGCTGAGTATTATTTGAGTTCAGTTTCTTCTTGGAAGAGTGTATGTGTTCTGTATAAACAGAGCAGAATTCTTCTGGTAGCAGAGAAACACCATTAATTGTCAAGTCTTATCTGTAAATGTGTAAATATTTATTACTGTATTTAATATTTAATGTTTCCATAACAAACCTATTTATTTTATAATTAAACTTTTTACGTAACCTAATCATGGTAAGATTTTTTTCTTGCTCTTGGGAGTACATGTAAACACTTGAAATTAGAGCTTGGTTTCTCCTCAAAGCAGGAATTTCAACACCTAAGAGCACAAAGTATGGCTGTGAAGAAATAGAGCTGTTTGTGAAGTATGAGCTTGGTGCTCTCCCAAGAGTGCAAGTTGTTTGTAAACAAAATGTGCAAATGCAAGTACTTTTTTGAGTAGGAAGTCCATTTAATTCAACTACAAAGGAATCCTTTAGTTAGTAGATTAGCCACCTCATTGGAAGCAAAATCTCAGACTGAAGTTAAAGCAAATAGGTAGCCCTTTGCACTGGACTGAAGAGCTGGGAATATTGAATAGGGAAGAGCCTTTCATCTCTGTGCGGTCAGAGAGAATTTGGACAGTGGCTTGAGACTTGGTCTGAAATAAATGAAGAAAAGGAGAAGAGCCTCAGGCCGGTGACTCCCTAAACAGAAAGAGACCCTTGGACTCAACACTCCACCTTGCTTTTCTTTTCTTCCCCTGGTAGCTATTAGTCCAACTGTGTGCTAATGTTTCCTCTAAAGAATTCTACCAGTGAGCTGGGGACTAAGTTCAGAGTTGCCCCCCAAAAAATGTGTGAAGGGGGTGAGTTTGGCTTGAAAGCCACACTTGCTAAGATGATGATTGAGAACCTTGCTTTGAGGCCTTTCTCTCAAAAGTGTCTTCCACAGTTGTTAGCTGTGGCTTAGCTCAAAACAGCGTAAAGGGTGTTGGGGGGAAGAACAAGCAGTTACAATTAGGACCCAGGTTGCGTACCCAGTGTAGGAGTGGAGTGTAGTTCTGTTTGGAGTAGCTGAGAGGCGTTTGCCTTGGCCTCCTGATTTAGCCAGGTAGTTCTCAGACTCTGAGAGCAGCCTGTATGGTATGTAGCTGAGATACAGGTAAATGTATTGCAACATCTGTTGGGAAGATTGCAAGACTTCATTCCAGGGAACTTGCTTCATTACCAAAGTAAACAGTGCTTCTCCAAGAGGCTGTTCCACAGGCATGCGCTATTAGAGCTCTGGCAAGAAAAGCTGTTTCTGTAAGTCATGCCAAGCTTTTTGCTTTGGAGTAAACAAGCTCAATCTCAGTGGTAACAGAACCCAGGGAGACTGGGGATGGATCACAACTCTCATCTGAAAGCCGTAAGACTCTTCTTGCAGAAACTTCCACCTGTAGTCGTCTTTCTGGAGTAAATAACAGGTTTTCCACTTGATGATGTAGCCTATGAAGTATATGTATGTAACCAGTGGTAGCATAGAAAACTGAGCTGTTTTCCCTCTTCCCAGCTCGAAAGCTTAACAGGAATGAAGCTACTAGTGTAACTTGTAATTTCCATCTATTGTGTACTTTTCATACTCTGATTACTGAAAGAACTGGAAGGTATTTTTGAAAGATAGGTAGTTAGGAACTGGAGATGTCCAAGTGAGCTATTACTGGGAGACTGGATTAGTGAAAATTTGAGTGCCACCTGGTGTTGTCCTGACTTGGACCTGAACTCATGTCAATAATGAGGAAGGAAAATCATTGCTGAGTCTCCTTACTTGAAAGCTGGGAAACAACAGAGGGCAGGCTTTATGGAGACCTTCTTCCTCCCGAGGGATTTTGGTTTACAGCGAGATTTGCAGAGAGGTAGGGCGATCAGCAACTTGCTTTTAGACAAGACTTTTGCTCTGAGTCAGTCACATCCAGCGTTGCTGTTGTGCTTGGTACCAGAGTAGAGCTTTTCCGTGCCCAAGAGATGACAGCAGTCTTGTGCTAGGCAGGGAATTTCCCGTGTTCCCTGCAGTGGCTTGCTGAGCACTGTAAAAAGGTTTCTGTGTTTGCTGAGGGAATTCCTTTTTCAGAAATTTAGTGCAGGGAATTGAGGGCAACTTTGCCTGTCCAGGAATGACATACGTATCTGTAAATTGAGAACTGATGTACAGCTTTGCATTAAAAAAAATAATCCCTTAATTATGTTTTTAATCAATTACAGCTTCTAGCAAGCAGTGATGATGTTTTCTATTTGAGCTATGACCCTGAGTAATACCAGCTTCCTACCAGCTTCCTAATGTAAATTTGATGCACGAGCACCATCAAGAACTACAGTGTCTGCTGGGTTGGTTGCTTAAATAAAAACCTCAGCTGATGGGTGGAACTATATGTCTGGCAGTCTCTTGCTATCTGAGGATGCTACACTTGTGTGACAAGCAAATCTGATCTGGTGCAGGGCAAGGCCAAAGATAATTTTTATTGTTGATCCTGCACAGCCAGGTCTGCTCTTCAGGATATATATACATGGTCTGGCTTTTATCCTGCTCCCCTCACCGTGGAGTTACCTTAGTTCCACTAAGCATTCCTGGGTTTCTGGTCCCACGTTTTATCAGTAAGTTATGCTTCTAGATTTTTCTTGACTTTCCAGCGGCAATGTTACTTTGACAGGAGAGCTTCCGTGTCCTTGTCACTTGTAGCTGCATCAGCTGAGTCCCGGAAGGAGTAGCCTGATGTTCTTGCACAATTTTCTGCGCACACAGCTGATTTTGCAAGGTATTTTCGATATCCAGATCAGTATCCAGGAATTCTGGTAATGTGAGGGTCATGTCTGCTTGCACAATTCCTTCCTCTTTCCCAAATGTTTTGTTCTCCATCGTTATTACATTTTGTAGAAAAAAACGATAACTGCTCAGGGTGTTTTTCTCTGTTGTGTATTTATGGAGCTTTTGAGTGTTTTGCAGTTGTCTGTGAGCAGAGTACCTTCCTGTCTACTTCTTGATTTCGCTTCCCTTCTCCTGCCCTCCTCCCAATATGCCCCTTTTCCCTCAGAGCGGTAGCAGATGTTACTTTGAATCTTGGCATGCTGGATATTATAGGAAGGCTAGTTCTACTCTTTGGCAGTGAAAAGGTACGAGTTTAATTTGTTTTCTTTTTTTCAGTAAATCCAGATATACATGGACATGTATGAAGGTGTTTGTACTATCAGTGGCCGCAAGTAGATGTTATGCAGTGGTTTGCATAAATCCACCTTTGAGTTGTTCCATGCTGTTTCCACTAACTGGTATAAAGTTTTGAGTTCTTAAAATAACTTTGGGCGTTTTTAATATTAATATACTTACCTAGCCTGTTAGCACTACAAATAATTCAGTAAAGTACCTGAGCAAACATATCTGAAAGCAAGGTTGTTAACTGGGACAAATACTTGCCTCTTTTTGAAGAGGTTTTCTGGATGCGCTAACGGTATGTCTCGCTTCACTGAACAGTCCTGCAGTCACCTGGCTCTTGAGGTGTTATCTTTGATAGGAAGCGAGGCTTTGCGTTCTTGGTGAGAGCTGAATGCAGTGAGTGAGCGTGCTCGAGGAGCAAAGGCCAGTTGTCGGTGTCAGAGTCCGAGTCTGTTCACATGAGACAGATCAGTGGACGTAAGGGTCAGGCAGCCTTTAATAAGCAAACCCCGATTCCCTCTCATTTTGTGAACAAAGCTGTACATACCTATCGTTCTTCTGCTGGTTACACCTTCCTTAAGCGAGTAATCCTCATTTACTGCAGGTCTGGCTTTGCCTATGACTTGTGAGCTTGCTCAGTCGAGACAGCTACGCCTGTCAATGTCAGAGGGAAATAGCTATTGTTTGTGTACCGTGGACGTAGGCCCGAAGCCAAGGAAGCAGGATTTGTGCCTTTTTTGACCAAAGGAGACCTGTGAGGTGGGACATCTAAAGTCCAAGGGAAAGAAGTGCTTTCAAAATACATTTTCCTAGTAAGGAGAGTAGTGGTTTTTCTTCAGAAGAACCAAATTTTCATTCATATACTTCTTGTGTCAGAAAGGCCTATCTTTTTGCATATAATTCAGAAGAAAACCCACTTTTCAGCTCAGTGTTTTTTGACTGAAATAATGCAGCCTGTTCTCTTTGCATTTTGGGGCAAAAAGCAAAGCTAAATAGTCTGAGAGCCTGATCTAATCTAGCATTTCCAATATGTCTTAACCTAGATGTCATACTGTCGTTCCTACGCCATGCATGCTAAGTCAGATAACACCATCATTAC